TTAATAAAGTATCTATCTGAAGGGGATTTTAAAATTATGAATTTAGGTACTAATAGTACACATTTATGTTAAGGATTGAGTGAGATATTGTATTTTCTTTGTGTTTTTCAACTTTGTGACGAAAAAATCATGTGATCTTGCCATTCTAAGGAATTATGCAAGCAGCAGTAAAAAAAATGCTAAAGTACGCATGCAGCAAGAAACGGGTAGTGCCCATCTGGACATGCTTTCCACTCTCCTGACTCCTGGATATGAATCTCACCCTGCGGGTGTTGAAATCCCAAGAACCTACCAGGAATAATTGGAATAGGGTCCTTCCTATTTGTCACATGCGTGAGGTCGGTGACATGAGAATCGACATAGTCTGCAAAGGCTTGGTTCCCAACGCGTGGCAAACCGTAACCGACGAACTTGTACTTCGTACCAGAATGCAAGTGCAGTGGTAAGAAAATTGAATCAAGCAGCGCTTGCGCGGCACCAAGAGAATGTCCAATCATCGTCACACTCGCATCAGGGTGAGCAGAAAGGGTGGTCTGCACAGCAGACAGTATATCCGGCGCCACTCTGAGAAGTGACATTAGGTTATTATTAATCTATATAATGATATAGAAAAACACGCGAACCGGGCATGAGAGTCTGCAAACCCATCGTGGACCTGGATGGAATTGTATACCGGGAAACAGCTTTGGATCAAGATGAACCATTTTGATGTCGGCATCGGTCAAAAGAGGAATACTGCCAAGTTAAGAACAAGGTATCATCAGAGAGATTGATTTTGAGCATCGCCAACCATATAGTACCATCGAATTAACACACGTACATCTTGACTGGATCAGTGCCCTGATGCACGACGACAACGGAGTTGAAAGCGGGATCGAATCCTACGTACCCTAGATTGGTCAAGGACAATTATATCAACTTAAAAATCTGACTCCGCTGCATCAGGAAAAAGTCGCATTTCTTATAATATATTGTAGACTTTGTAAAGTAACATGAGTATTGTATATATATTGTAAAGTAATTACAAGACTTGCAAATCAATTGTAAAGTTTGTAATAGACATGTTAATGTATATAAAGGCTAAGTAAGTGTTATGGATGAATGCAATCTATTACAAGTATTCTACTAACTTTGTATAATAGCCTAAAGTATTATGCTTGCATTACATTTTTATTATAATTTCAAAGAAAGGGTGATATTTACAATATAATAATATAAGAATAATAATTGTTGCCTTATAATTTATGCAAAAGGTATATTAATGTATATAATAGTGTAAGAGCACTTGTTGTATCATTATTATCTTAATAAAAGTATACTATAAGTATATAATATGTGTGTTATACTTAGACTATCTATACAAATAGCTTACAATATTTGTAAAAGTTATTTCATTGACTTGTAATAATTACATCAGTGTGTTTAGAAAGCTATATACATGTCATATTACTTTTTACTATATTACAAAGTAGATTAATTATTTTATTTTATACCTAAATACAATAATTGAAATGTTCTATCAGTTGACGACTCATATTATAGTTGATTATGTAATCAACTGCTGAAGATCGAGAGCATATAATGACACATTTCTCTTCGTCACTCCTTTACCTCCTACCTTCACCATCTCCCCAACTCTCTGCCCCCAACACTATGTCGTCGCTTCTGTTCTCTCTAATCAAGTCCTCTGCTCGCAAGCGTCCTACCAGCAGGCACTCTGCGCTTGCTACAACATAGGCAATAAACATCACTGCACTCGTCTCTCCAATCTGCTGTTGTGATGCCCGCGTCGAGCCTCAGATCGCACAATGATGCCACCGAGCTGACTACACCGTCCTTCAACATAAAGTGTAAGCAGCCGGTCCACTTCATAATAACCTGCACAATAGTTGCTCATCCATCTCCTCCCATCTTTTTGTCTTTCATCCCTCCCATCCCTCCCACTCCTTGCTCCGCCGTTTGTGTTGCCTCTCCTCCGTTGTCCTTCTTGTTTTACGCTCGCCTTCCTATTTGAATTCGCATTCACGCATCCGCATTGTTGACCAACACTGAATGACTTCTTCAATAATTCCATGCATTCTTCCCGCTCTGCAGCGCAAGCAGCAATCGACGAGCACACGCTCGCGACAATGTCCATGTACGACCACTCCCAAGGGACAATCCTCTCTCCGACCCCCGCGCGCACTCTCCTTCCCCACCCACCATTCCATGCTTGACAACACCCTCGATGGACTCACACTGCGTGCATTTACAATCCCCAGTGTTGTCCATGACACCATTTCGAATAACGGAAGCAGTGGCCACTGCTCACACCTGTCCAAGTTGAGTCCGTCAACGCCTTCCACTTTGCCATCTCCCTTCGTTCCAGAACGTCCCAGAGATACGCTCTTACAATCCATGACTCAGTTCATGGTACCTCCTATTGGACACTGTTTATGGACAATAGAGCGCACGCACACAGACACGATTTCGCTGCAGTCCGAAT